TTCCGAGGGACCCGGGGCGGGCCGGGGTGTCTGAGCCCGGGCGCTCCCGCAGCTGCTGTCCCACTGCCTGCTGGTCACCGTGGCCGCGCGCTTCCCCGCCGAGTTCACGGCCGAGGCCCACGCCGCCTGGGACAAGTTCCTGTCCGTCGTGTCCTCCGTCCTGACCGAGAAGTACCGCTGAGCGCCCCGGACCGGACCGCGCTGCGTGCGCCCGCCCCGCCTCCCGCCGGAGCCCCAAGCTCCGACCCTTCCTGCGAGCAACAATAAAGGAATCCGGTCCACCTGGTCTCTGTGGTCACTGGGGCCCGGGGGTGGGGCGGGGGCAAGGAGGGCCTCCGGGCTGCCATGTCCCCGCGGGCTGCGGAATGGGGACTTGCATGCGCCTGCAGCAGCGCGGGTCCCCCCACCTGGTCCTCTCACTCCGCCCTGCAGAAAGGCTTTGTTCCCCACAGGGAACAGGGACAGGGCCCGTGGGCCGCACCTGCACACACGCCTGTGTCTACCACGTCTCCCCTCGTGGCTGGCCTGTGCCCGACGCTCCAACCCCGCCTGGCCCACTCGGGCTCTGTTCCACTCATACCTCCTTTCCCACAGAGTGACCGAGAGACCCAATTCTCCTTGTCCTCCCTAATGTGTTTGTCTTCTCAGTCCCCCACGAGGTACCAAACCCAGTCAGGCCAGCTCCTGCAGAAGTAGTTGATATCGGGCCAGCTGCAGTGCGGGGGGTTAAGGTGGCTGGATCCATATGACCAACTGTGGGGTTCCAGTCCTAAACCCAGTGGCTTGAAAAACATGCTGGGCGCATGTGCGTGTGTGTCCAAAACCCAGAAAGGAGAGTGGAGGAGAAAGGATTGTGGTGTGGCCATTCCCCCTAGGGAATGACTCCTCACTCTCACTCTCTCTCTGGTGGGCACACGTGCAATATAGTAATTTTTTTTTCTTTTTTTGGAGAGATTTTTGCTATAGGGCGCGTGCACTCACCAGAAAGACAGAGAGAGACAGAGAGACAGAAAGTGAGAAATCACCCCCAGGGGGGATGACCACGCCGCAATCCCTTCTCCTCCATTCTCCTCTCGGGATCTTGGGCAGGTACACACATGTGCCTGGCGTGAGTTTAAGCCGCCGGGTCTGAGACTCAAACCGTGGTCAACTACATGGGAGTCCAACGACATAGCCATTACGCTAACTGCTGGTCCCCCCAATATAGCAAATTAAAAAAAAAGAAAAAAAGTAGTGGATAGCTGATACCATACATTTGAAACTACATTAATATTTGGCAGGATGAAAGCAACTTAGTAAAAATACCAGGCGCTTCGCCCAGCGCTTCCAGTGTAGGTGGAAAAGACGCAAGCAAAATCAATGGGAAATACGTATTAAAATTGTATTTATTCTATAAGTCAGAGACAGAGGAAAGAAACAGCCTCCCTGACTGCCCTGGGAGGGCTCCGATGAGAGCACTGACCTTCCAGTGCATCTGGCCAGTAGGTCTGACATCACCCTGCAGCACTGCAGCTAGGCCCCTCAGTCAATGAGAGTGAAAACTACACCGAATTTTAATGTGGAAAGTTGTAAACGTGTGTTTTAAATACATGTTTTTATTTTTTTTAAGAATTACTTTATTTAACTTTATTTATTTAAATTTGACCAGAGTGAAACAGAGCGAGTGAGTGAGCGAGAGGAAGTGAGAAAGCGAGGAAACGAGCGAGAGTGTGCGTTCACCTCCTGAGTCCTAGGAACTGTGGACGTGTCCCTTTACATGGCAAAAGGAACTTTGCAAATGTGATCAAGGATTCTGAGATGGGAGATTGTTCTGGATTATATAGGTGAGCGAGAGGAAGTGAGAAAGCGAGGAAACCAGCGAGAGAGAGAGAGAGAGAGAGAGAGAGAGGGAGAAAGCGAGCCGCCAGGGCTGGGACTCGAGCCGTGGTCCCTTAACCACCATGCCCCCGCCAGCCCCAGTTCCCCGTGTTTTATAGTCATGTGCATGGGTAAAGGCCTGGGAGAAGACACCACTTCAGCACTGAGGTCCTGGGGTCCATGTGACCCCCAGGGAGCAGGCCTCCACCTTTCCTTGGAGAGTGGCTGAGTCCAGAGCCGGGCAGAGTCAGGGGCGCTTGGAGCATGCCGCTGTCCCCAGGAGCCTGCTGTCTTGGCCTGTGCAGTGTGTGGGGTGCAAAGCCAGCATGGCGGGGCTGCTCCTGGCCCCATGGGGGGGCCATGTGAGATTGAAAAATAGCTATTATATGGGGCCAGCAGGTGGCGTGGTGGTTAAGGGCGCTAGACTCCGCTGTGGCCGACTGCGGTTTAAGTCCCAGACCTGGCGGCTTGCTTTGTCACTTTCTCTCTCTTCCTCCCCCCCCCCACTTGCTCTATCCTCTATGGCCAAATAAAAATATAACAATAATAAGTAAATAAAGTTAAATAAAATAATTCTTTACAGAAAAAATAACAATTGTAGTTCTTTTTTTTTTTTTTTGGAGAGTTTTTTGCTATAGGGCATGTGCTCACTAGAAAGACAGAGACAGAGAGACAGACAGCAAGAAATCACCCTTGGGGGGGGATGGCCATGCCACAATCCCCTCTCCTTCATTCTCCTCTCGGGATCTTGGGCACACACGTACACGCGCTCTGCGTGACAACTGTAGTTCTTTCATCTTAGTGGCCGACCTGCCACCCAGGCTGGGGAAGACCAGAAATTTCAAGGCCACATGAGCCGTGGTCACAGCTACATCGGCAGGCACTGGAAGACCCCAGAGGCTGGGAAACACTGGTGGTGTGTGTGGCCACAGGACCACCTTTGACAAACGTCACCCAGCTACTGGGGGAAGTCGGTGTGAGGCGTTACCACCTGAAGAGGAACCAGAGCAAGCATCTGCCCAGCTGTCAGCCCCGGCAAACTGGGGCTTCCGTCAGCGAGCAGATGCGAAGCTCCCACCACGGGACGGTGTGATCAGCCACTGCCAGGTTCTATGGAGGCAGCCCGTCACTCGGAAGGCCACGCTCTTCAGAGGCTGGAAGCCACCAGAGAGGTGGCTAAATGCTAACATGCCTGTCCTCGCTCTGGGTGGGCCCTCGGGCATGCCTGCAGCCCCAGCCACACACCGGGAATCCCATAGGTTCTTCACACTGGGAGGCGGGGGCGTGGCCCCTCTGCTGGCTCCCCTCAGAAAGAATGTGCCAGAGTTGGCGGCAGCTCAGAGGAGCGGCCAGTGGCACATTTTTGTTTATAAATTGAAAATGACACCTGATGATAATTGAAATACCTGATGAAAGGCCTGTTTCTATTGTGCTCTTGAATTTTATAGGGACCAGCAGGTGGCATAATAGTTATGTCGCTGGCCTCACGTAGTTGACCTGGTTCAAGCCCCGGACTGGCGGTTTTTAAACTCATGGGTGGAGAAAAGACTGCAGTGTGGCCATCCCCCTGGGGGTGGTGATTTCTCACTTTTCATCTCTGTCTCTCTCTGTCTTTTCAGCAAGTGCTTGCACCCCATAGGAAAAACCTATCTCTTGGCAAAAAGCATTCATAGCAAATGGGAGAATGGAGACACCGCGCTGAAACACCGTTTGCGCTTTGCTCTGAACTGGCAATGAACAAGAGAATGCACTCTTAACTTTTCCATGGGGCTTGAGAAAAGATTTGGGTTCAGTGGGTCGCGGGTCAGTGACTCGGATCCAGAAAGCCCCTGTCAGACTCACAGGTCCGCCCGCAGAGCCAATATGCTCGGAGACGCGCTCCAGGTCTGCCACGCCACCCTTCAGAGCATGCTGGGATCAACTGTCTGGAAGCACAAAGGAACGCCTTGGTTGAACGAAGGTAATAATGGGAAGCTCGAACTTAAAAAAGTAACAACTAGGGGCCGGCAAGTGGAGTGGCGATCAGGGCGCTGGACTCCCACAGGGCCGACCTCGATTCAAGTCCCTCACCTGGCTGCTTGCTTTCCGACTTTTCCTCTCTCTCTCTGTCTCTCTATGGTCAATTTTTTAAAAATAATGGTAAGGGACCAGCAGTTAGCGTAATGGCTATGTCGCTGGACTCCCACATAGTTGACCGCAGTTTGCATCC